GCCATCCCTCCACCCACCCTCCCCTACTTGCTCGTCAGTTTTGTTGAGGCTCAGTATCACGAGACTCCCAGCTCTGCTGTGGCTTCGGCATCATTCCAGATAAACAGGGGATAGCAGCGGGAGGGAGTTGACGCTGTTGTCATTTCATGTGTGTGCGGATTCTGGTTTGTGACAGGAGGATGTGCTGGCATGTGTGTGCTTGTGCCATGAATACTAAATTGTGTGTTAAGATCTCCAAGCTCTAAGCTGTTCTGATGCATGCCATGTGTGCTTGAATTGCAAAGTCTCCTTCTGATAGTCTTTTTGTCTGTAATTCAGCCCTGTTTTTCCAAACAAATGAAAAAATCTCTCTACAGCGCAATGAGATCAACTTCGTTTCAAGTATTTTCTTAAAGTCAATTAAGTTGAAACTTTCTTGACTCTGTTCTTGTTTCAAGATGCAAACTCTTTCTTGAAAAAGGTTGATTTTCATTGGAAAACAAGAAATAGTCCCAGTTTGGGCAGATTCTTTAGAAGAAAATAAGGATTTTAAGAAGCTTTTTAAGACATAAATAATTTGATTAAATGGAGATTCTTTGCTTTGCATGTGTTTGTGTGTGTTAGGTCTTTTCTCATCTGCTCTCCTCTCAAGCAACATCGAGGCGCAGTCCTGTTTTGCATAGCACTACACGTGATTATGCAGGACTTGTAAAATGCAAAACGAAAGACAAATGTGTTGTCCTCTTATCTGCAAATTACTTGCGAAGCAGCCAAAGTTCATTCCAGTCTCAGCTTTTGCATCCCGTCACTTTCATCAGCACTGAAACTCCATCACTCTCCTTTCTCTGTCTGCCAGTGGACGTCAGCTCGGCGCTTTGATTGGACGCCGGCCCAAAAAGATTTTGTAACTGAATGTTAGTGTGTACGTCTACACAAGAGAGACAAATGAGCGGGTTTGCTGGTGGACAGCTGTGCCTTGTCACTGCTGAAGTTTTGGCAAACATCTTGGAACGATATGAGCGAGAGGGCAGAAATAGAAGAAGTGGGTGTTGTCAGGGTGAGATGAGGGAAAGATAGAGGAGACAGGAGGAGGGCAGAGAGCTGGCAGGGTCAGGGAGGGAAACAAAAAGCATGAACGACAGTGAGGGAAGGCAAGTTAGGAGAGAGATGGATGGTTTGGGAGCACGGCCGGATTTGACAGTGGTACCGGCTGATGTGACACAGCCCAGACAGGGAGAGTGACTGATGATCTATAGGTCACCGCCATGACTAGCTGCTTCCTGCTCGCATACAACCGAGCCGGCCCCTCATTCCTCATTACTGACACGTCCCATAATATTTATCCCTGTGAAGTCCAGCGTGAAACCTGGTAAGCTTTAAAGGAATTCATTGACTTTTTGGGCAGAATGAGCTCTTTGATCAACTTGCCGTGGAGCCATGAAGAGACTGGCAGCTGTTTCCCCTCTCTGTATTTACTACAGTTCATGTGATCAGATGAGATGCTGCAAACGCACACACACACTAGTCTGCACTTAAACTTCACACACTGTATACAGCATTCAAAGAGGGAGAAATGATGCCAAATGCCTCGTAGCAGACCAGTGTGTTGATAGACTTAATTTGCCAAAAGCGAAATCAATTCCTTTAAAAGAAAGCTCTACATTTCCACTGTATAATCAATATTTAAAGTTCATTGCACTCCAGGATGAAGCGTCGTAATTTACATATATATTTACATATATCGGTGAACCCACCTTTCCTGGCCT